AAAGCAATTATAAGGTAACAAAGCAAGCCAAGGCTAACAAAGACAAAATCCAAAGTACCAATACAGAAAATTATCAAAGTTGATTTTTAGGATCGATTTACTGATTTGAACTTAATTTATTAAAGAACAAACCCGATCCCCATGTATAGGCTAAAGCAAGCTAGCTAGCTACTGAGATTTAAGTCAGCCTCGTCTTGCTTTTTCTTTGGTTTAATTAAATAACAAACCCGTTGAAATTAGTTCACCCGAAACAACTTGATCTTGACACGCTTGATTTCAAGTATTTATTATAAAACCTATTATTAGATATTGACCTAATTAAATTTTAATTAAGAATTAATTTAGATTTTTGTTGAATTTTATTGATTAAAGAAGTATTTAAAGATTAAGTTTATTTAAATGATAAATATATTTAATGGACAAGAGTTCTTAACGAATAAAAATTTTTAGTGATTAAATTTTAACTTTTAAAATAATGAGAAAGACATAATCATTATGTGATCTTTAATTTTATGTAGAAAACGGATATGTAGGGATGCAAGAAAGAGTTAAGAAAACAAAGGATATTCCATGTGTTTAAGCATTAGATAGTGTGAGAATTAACTAGATTTGCTTCAAGGCTTGAGATTAATGCTTGTATTTAAATATTGTGTATTCTTTGTAATCTTTAAATTTATAATAGAAATAGTTTTCGTACATAAATGTAAATAATTGAGACTGAATCACATTAAATATTAACACTCTTGTGTGTATATTTTACTTAAAAATTCTTAAAAACATCAAGCTTAAAACCCATTAACAACGTCAATTCATGTCAACTATTCCTCATAGTTATCTCATGGGTGATTTACATTTGCGAAAGCCTATGAAAATTCAGTAATGTTGTCATCAACCGCCCCTGTAATTTACAAGCTGTCATAAAAAATGTTTCATTTGTTCACGTGTCTAAAGAAGCTAATTATTTAGCAGATTATCTAGTCAAGTTAGGTGTGGATAAATTCACTGATTTGATTGCATGGTTGTAATTTTATTTCTCTCCATTTCTTAATAAAATCTCATTTTTCAAAAAAAAAATGTCAACTATTTATAATCAATTGTCGCTAAGATCTTGTCTCAATTAAAAAAAAAAAAACCTGAAATCTTAATTTAGATATTGAATTCAAAGTTATCTTTTATTGAAGATAATTAGATATATTAATGTTTTTATCATACCAATCATGGGTTGTCTCAACTGGTCGAGTTTACTCTCCTAATTATGAAACGTTCAGGTTAGAGTTTCGCTGTTGCTTCTCGTTAGTGGGAATCTAAATGTAGTTAATGAAAGCTTTCGAAGATGCACACGAGAAAAAAATATACATATTTATGATGAATTTGCTAATTAAAATTTCCAAGTTGGGGGTGCAATTTATGATATTAAATTGTATTTTAAAGAAAAGAAGAACGCGTAGGCACGTGATCCCATTGACGAAAGGAAATGAATCAGCAAAGTCTAAAAAAAAAGAAGGCACCAACTGTCATGTGGCACGTGCAAAGAGGGTGGGGGTCTACTCGTGATCGGAGGAACCCAGCATGCAGTAGCATCGAAAGCAGCGAAGGAAGAAGCGTCCAAGGTTTGTTTGGTTAGCTGTCAATCCCTCCAAATCCTTCTCACCGGGACCGATTCGATCACCTCTTTCATGATTGTCCCTCTCTCATGCAAAAATATATATAATTTATTTGTTACCATCGCCTTGTTCCTAGCTATATATTAGGCTTTATCATCAGCTTCTCCTGTCCTTTTGGTTGGTTTCTTTTTGTATAGAAATTTAGTCACCTTTCCACTCAACAAAATTTGATTAATTATCATTCTTTGTTGCTACTTAACATCAATGACGTGTTAAGTGACTATTTTATGCAATTTTTATTCAAAAGGGAATGCATTCATTTGGATTATTATATATTACATATAATGTGAGACTCACAAGAACGCTACATATGTTTTATGAACTAATCCATGTAATCCATTTTATTAACTTAATCTCTCTTGCTGTTTCTTTCTATGATATAAGCAAAGAACAAAGTGATCATCTAGCTAGATATATAATAACAAAGAAACTCAAAATAGTAAGGGAAATCGATGTATTTTTTTTTTGTTCATGGCAATCCCCAAGCTACCTTTAATTTTGACTATAGGTTTTGGCTAGACGAGAGACAAGAATTGTTGGAAGACATATGATTTTCATTTTTTTTTTATTATTTGAAATTGTTAAAAAATAAACCATGATTACTAGAACTAAAAAATTAATATTCTCCAAATATATGACATGGCTGTTTATCACATTAATTTACAACGGATCAAGAATTTAGTTAAAGTTATTATTATCAAAATATAGCCCATTTTAAATAAAAATATTATTAGGATTTTACTTTGAGGTTTCTAATTAATTGAAAATGAGAGAAAACTATCTCTTATATATATATATATATATATATATATATATATAGTTGAAATTTCATTTTCATAGGTGACAATAATTTTGTTTTCACTATAAAAATAAAAATTATGAAAGCTTCATCACCAAAAGATGTTGCTGGTGTGGAGAGATGGCTTTTTTTTTTGGTGTAAATGTGTGACAGAGATTACCATTGATTAATGCAATATTTTAAATTTATTTATGTTTCGTGAATGAGATCTTGATCCAATTATTAAAGGAATTTGGCCAAAAATAAACCCGTTTTGTTTTTAATTTGAAACCAAGATCTTAAGTCATATCTTAATTCGAGCCTAAATTATATATTTTTTATTCTACAAATAAGAGAGATTGATTACAATTGTTATTTGATGATCTAGATTTTTCCAAACACCTTAAAATGAGGAAAATTCTACATTAAAATCCCAAAATTACAAATAAGTTCAAACATTATAAAATTGATACTATTTCATAAGGCATTTCAAATTTTTGTAGCTTGAAAGTCATAAAACTTTTAGTTCTTCAATAAATATAGAGGTACATATAGAGATGATAACGGATCAGGTCGGGATGGGTTTTTGCTCATCCCGAATCCGACCCAATCTTATATCCGTCAAATCCAAACTCAACTCGAATTTTTTTTATTTTTTAATACTTAACCCTGATCCGATATTATATAAACAATACTCGACCTGATCCGACCCGAAATTAATAAAATATTATTTTTTAAAATATAAATATTTAAATATATAATTATATAAATATATAAATAAAAAATTATTTAAAAAATTATTTTTATATAATATCGAGTCTGGTCGGATTTGTCTCAAACTTGAACCCAATCCGATCCTGATATTTTCTTTAGCATTACCCAACTCGATCCAAAACTTGATTTAAAAAAAAAAAATTGATCTTATAAAATCAGGTTGGGTCGAACCACCTTGAACGGATTGGGTTACCCTAGGTACTAGCTATTATAATTAAAGTATGTACTCTTAATTGATTTATTAATTAAAATAATAATAATGGTACGTAGATACGGAAGCTTTCATATTATGCCTATAAAATTATAGTATTATAAGACATTCGTACAAATTAAATGTTCCTTACTTGATCACTTGGGATCTCTTTCTTACACCTGAGCCTTTAAGTGGTTATGATGATCTTATAAATCCTACCCACAAAAAATAAATAAATTCATCATTTAATTTATTTCGTTTAAATTAATTGACAGTTTATTTTTTCGAACTTCGTAAGGTCATGAATCAATTCTTATATATTAACCTACTCAGTTGGAATTTAACTTGAATAAAGGATTTCATGATTCCAACACAAAATAATAGTTTTTTTTTTTTGGTATATATGTGACACGTTAAAAGAAAATAAAAGATTTGTAACAACGATTAGGTTAAAATAATAATTTACAAACATAATTATATAGATATGACATGTGTGCCCGCATGCGCACGAGGAAATTATATTATATTGTTCACTTAAATTATTTATAATCTTTACAATCTAGGTGCGCCCTCTGTTGAACTCTAAAGGGATGCCATTTTCATTGGTATGTTAGCATTTTCTCCTACTTGATGCTGACATCAAACTAAAAGTTTTTTTTTTATTTGTAAGTATATGTTTTTTTTATTTTTGCTTCGTTGTCAAATGTCATGTAGTAAAAAATGTAGTCATAATTGTCAAAGATGGCATCCCATTAGAGTTAACAGGATGGTCATATTGTTTAAGTAATGTTAGTAACCAAAATATAGTAAATTTGGTGTATTTTACTCTCTTTTTTTTTTTTTTTCATTTAAAGTGTAATTTACTTTATATATATATGTGTGTGTGTGTGTGGAAGCTAACTTGGTTTTGAAACTAAGGAAAGTAACTATTTCTCATTCCATACATTCTACCCATTTGAAAAAAATATATATTGGAATATGAAAACTCTTTTCCTTTTGTTACATGTATTTAAATTTAACAATTCGTATATTTGTGTCATGCAAAATATTAAAATTTATATTTTTTATTATAGTTTATACAAAAATTATGAGTCACAATTTGTATTGACATAAAAATATGAAATATATATTTTTTATTTTATTAAATCCATATATAATTATTACTAAAATTTTAAATCATGTTATCTTTGTATCCTATATTTATATTATGTTATCGTTATCTGTTTTAAATTATCATATCTATATATATAATTTTTTGAAATTGACAATCGACAATTCTAATCTTTGAAATGTTCCTTTAAAGGCAAACTATAATTATATATTTTGATTATAAAGCATATGAATTCCACATAAATATGATTACAAGTGAAATTAGATTCACTAGCTGTCGCAATCTAGTAAAAATGATTACAAGTAAAGAGACAACAATTTGATTGTAATTTTTCCATATATTTCCCTTTCTCTTGTCAGTGTCTTCTAAAATATTTATTTTTTTATTTATTTTTTATGTTGGAATTTCAAGACGTCAAAGTCTCTGTAAATCAATGAGAGGTCAATTCCGTAAATTGGGTTATGATGAATAATAATTTCATGTGGGGGAAAGGAGGCCCTCATGCAGGAAACAAACAACTGTATTTTGTATGTTATGGGGGATGAAACTGCTTCTCCTTCAAATAACCCTCATATTAATCCCTGCGGTGAAATGAAAAGTGCAAAGGCCCTTTGACAAATAAAGTTGATGTTCTAAAGATTACAGGCTGAATAATGTCGTCTAGAGATCGAAAGAAAGCATCTATTTATCAGAGACTGCAAAAGCTTCGCTCTGTTACCAACTCTACTGCTGTAAATTGGCCAAAATCCAAGTTTTTCTCTTCCTGGTTCTTTTTTTTTTTTTTTTTTTCTGTTATATTTCTATCCTGACAATGAAACCATGAGATAAAACTCAGAAACAAGAAAGCTTAGTCTATGAGTAATTAAGAGTAGGTGTGAAAACCTGGTCGATGGTGTGTGATCGAGTGTGCCGATGATCATGATAGTTTATTTCATTTTCTATCTGGTTAATTATTGATTGTTGGGATATTATGTTATTGGCAGGTGAACAAGACCTCAATCATTGTAGATGCATCGAGATATATAGAAGAGTTGAAAGAAAAGGTGGAGAAATTGAACCAAGAAATTGGAACTTCACAAATTTCAACTTCCCAGAATCCTCTGCCTATGGTGAATATATATCTATGAGAATTGTATATATCATATTTGTATTTCTTTTCTTGTTTTAAACAATTTTCTCTTGTTCTTCTTTTTCTAACAAGCGTTAAATCTTATATAAAGAGCTCCCTTTATTGATTTTAGTTTTTATTTGGTTTCAGCAGGTTACAGTGGAAACCCTAAAGAAGGGTTTCCTTATTAATGTGTTTTTGGAAAAGAATTGCCCTGGTTTGCTTGTTTCCATATTGGAAACCTTCGAAGAGCTTGGCCTTGACGTGCTCGACGCTAGGGTTTCTTGCGAAGACAATTTCCAACTTGAAGCCATTGGAGGAGAAGTATATATGAACACTTATTCATTGTTCTCTTTAACCCCAAAGTGAATTTCAATTAGAAGACAAGTAAATTTGAATGAATGAATCCAAATATATGTCTTGTCATGTAGGCTTATGCAATATTAATTTCCTTTTGTCTGAGTTAGTACTTGTAAGGCATGGGTTTGAACCACACATTTTGGATTTTCTTTTTCACAATAATGAATGGTTAGCGTTGGATCCATTTCTTTGCTTGGACATGCTATATAAATATGGAAGCTAATGGTACTTGCATTATCTGACAATGCTAATGATGTTTTGATTTTGATTTTTTGCATGTACTAAAGCAAGAATTGTTGATAATTTTTCAGAATCAAGGTAATGTTGAAGGCATCGATGCTCAGATGGTGAAGCAAGCAGTGATGCAGGCTATCAGGAAATGGAGTGAAAATAGTTAGGATTTCTCTCTGTTTTCTTTCGAATTAGGTATTCTCTTTATAATTCCTTTGATCAGTTGCAGTTGCCTTGTATCATATTTATCTTTATCAATGGAAGTTTTAACTTTTTAAAATTTCTTCTTAAAAAAAAAAAAAACTGAACTACATACCATGCATCATCAATTAATTATATACTATAGTAGGATTCCAAGTAAAAAAATAATACTATAATAATATTAACAAAAATTAAAAGCAAACCCTCAGTGAATTTTATCTTCTCTGTACTTCGTAAAGCCCTGGAATCTCACTCATACACTCATTCATAATTTTGACAATAGAATTTGATGAGGTAATTGAGAGTTACTTGTAGTTGAGATATATTTGTTACCTATTGTGTCACGGATAAATGCCTGTTATTGTAGAAATAATAAATAACATGTGAACAATATTACTATAGTAAATAGAAATCATTAATTACAGTACTGCAAAAACTTTTTTAGCAATTATAATGTTTAAATTTTATATTTTTGTCAATATAAACAATATCAAATTACAATTCGCAGCGATCATATACATAAAAATTATTGCAAATACTTTTCACAATACATTGCAGCAAATATATATATACAGTTTGTTGCAAAGATCCTTTTGTGACATAAAAATTTTATACTGCAATAAGTGTTATAAACTACATTTCACAACAAAAATATGCAAAGAAATTTGTTATAAGTATTTTTTGCTGTATCTTTTAGTTTGTTGCGGTATCTTGTAGTATTGCATGAAATTCTTGTTACATATATTGTAGTGTTAAGAAGGATATATAGCATAAATATTGAAAGTGACTCAAGCAACACTATTCTCTGGGCTAAGAACCCCTCTACTGTCCCATACCGTATGAAGAATGCATATTTCTAATCATATCGAGAGCCTCAAAAGCAACACTAAGGACATCCTCTTCAAGCACATCTTTCGCAAGGCAAATGATATTGGCAACGATGTAGTGAAATCAGGGGCCCCTCGCTCGGATGCATTGGTGTTGTGGTTTATCTTCACCAATGTCTTTCTGAACTAGTTCTATCAAATCACAAGAATCCTGATTTCAGCTCAACACCTTTTAAGATTTTGAGAAGAGTTGCTTCTTGGAGAGCGCATTACAATAAGAGTTGCAAGCTGTGCTCGGGGGAAGTATTTGTCTATCATTGGCCTCTATGGAAGAATCAATCGGGGGCTTGAAAAGGGTGATTTATCCTGTGGCAGATGTCAGCAGTTTGAGTTGTATTTTTTCTTTTAAGTTATCATTCTTAATGTGAGAATTCTCAATCACACAATAGAAATTGATTGTGATTTAGATCAACTTGAGTGAATCTAATTGCTAGTTTTGGTTCTTCGATATGATTTATAGTTGTTAATTTAATCATGATTCAAATTGATGTAGGGAAGCAGACAAATAAAAGTCATTGAAGAATCAAAATAATTTGTCTAGTAGAAGAAAGCTTTCATGCAAGTTGGTATATGTACTGTTATTAAAACTATATATGTAGTGTTCCCCATAACAAACAATTCGCCACCAGTTTTATTACAGAAATCCAGCGGAACCAAGAATGTCTATCTTTTGTTTTACCAAACAAGAATATATATATATCTTTATTGTAGAAGATTTCATACTAATCAAGACAGCAGGAAAAAATGAAAAAAAAAAAAAAAAAAAGACATATAAGAGGCAAAAGATTTTCACTTTACACAAATAAAAGTTTACCGCTAACAATTATGTGGTCCCATAGTAAAGTGATAGACTTTTAATTTCAGTTAACAGAATTCAATTTTTAAAGATCTCAAATATATATATATATATATATATATATATATATAAAATCTCAATCTATCAAAATTCTTTTGTAATCCCTCCTTCAAGTTTTGTAATGGCTCATTCTACTTTCAAGATATCTTAATTCCTTTTGTTTTCCAAAACGCTCAACTTACTCAATCAATAATTCAAATTTATAAAAATTTGATTACATATTTCATTTTTGTTAAAATGAGAGATCAAAAAACAAAGGAAAAGAGAGAAAGGAACTTGAAGCGGATTTCTGTAAGATTAGGGTTCGATCCCAGCATTTGCATTTTTTTTTTTTATATCTAGATTTTGCTTTTTTTTATATCAAAAAAAAAAAAAAAGGAAAAGGGAGAGTACTAGCTCTATTACATGTAAAGACCATTGGAAAAATTAAGAAAAAAAAAGTAACTTGACTAATATAAAATTTTACGCCAAATGCAACAAAAGGCAATGGAAAAGCTTACACGAATGATATTCTATTAATATGACCATTTGAGTAATATTAAGTTTGATGTGCGAATCAGCTTTTGAAAAATTAACGTCTGGGGAACATGCATTTCAAGAAAAATAAGATATAATGTTCCTCTTATATAGGATTTTTATTCTTTTTAATTTATCATTCAGCCTGTTGAATTGCTGTTTATGCAGTGTCTTGGAATGATTAGGAAAAATCTCTCAAATGCTAAAAATGAGGTGAAAAAGTGTGTGAAGATATGCCCTCCAAATGCAAACTATTGTCATTTAATGTGAAATATATCACATTTATTAACAAAAACATTTCATACAAGCAAAATTAATTTACAATTATATATAAGTACTTATCAACTATGACAACATGAAATATATTAAGCAATTTATTAACTATAACACAATGATAAACTAATATGGGAGCTGGACAAAAGGGGTAATTTCTTCAGTCAAACAGTTTGTGAGTTACCTGGATATAGCCAACATCTCAGTGCAGATAATCAGGTTAGATTCGTCTCCATTTGGAAATACAATATCCCACCAAAAGTGCAAAATTTTCTATGGCTTGCGTGCAAAAATTGCATTCCTTCTAGCCTAGGGGTGTGCTGTATGAGGAAAGACAAATTGTAACTGGTGTCATGTCCTTTATCATGTAGTGTTTGGTTCTGGGGCTTCGAATGGTGGGGTCTGGCATGGGTCTGTCCGAACAAGGTGGAAGACATGTTGTGCCAGTCTGAAACGGTACCTTTCCATGGCTTGATTAGGAAAAGTTGGTCCTACATTATGGGCATTATGGTTAGCTAGAAATGAGTCTGTGTTCGAAGGAAAGGGATGAGGTCATCGTTTTGGGTCATGAACAAGTGTAGTTCTATGCTTACTTTAATAAAAAGTCCTTTTTGGCTGAGAAAAAAAAATTAAGCCATTTATTTTATGGTTTCTACTTAATTAAAATTGTGAGCATTTATAGAGATAAAATCGTTATTTTTTTTACATTATTAACATGTTATGTTATCATCTTCAATGATTTAAGTTTGAAAATAAAAAATATATAATATAATTAATTTAAACAATATAAATAATTTTTATTAAACATGTAACAAATATCTTAGAAACATTGACTGTAGGCTTTTGAGACCATAAATTGTGAAGATTTCCAGAAAATGGAGGTTTTATATATACAATGAACAATGCAATGACCTAAGCTAGGGGATTCTAATTATTTTGTTATGTATAAATTTCAAAAAAAAAAAAAAAACTTATAAGATACAGTGGAGAAACATATGTGGGATTTACCATGGGGGTAATCTAAGATAAAAAGTTATAATTTTGGATACAATTGATTTGTGTAACTGCATATTCAATAGATGAGAGCTACAAAATAAAGGATATAAAAATAATAAATTAAGGCTTAGGAGAAACAATAGATGAGAATAGAGGTGACAAAATGAATCTAAAAATTCACCGACCCAATCTTATAATAAAAGTTAAAGATTTAACTCTAAAGTGTTTAAACTTGGAAATATTTGAATTCGAACTTAATTTAGATTCAAAATGTATATTAAAATGATTTATATTTTTTATAAAATTTTAAAAAATAACATGATTGGCTCAAACATAAAATCAGTTTAAACCCAAAATAGCTTAAATTTAAAAAATTCAAAACTCGAAATGATTCAAATTAAAAAAAAAAAATACGTATTAACCCGCAGAATTACCACCTGTATATAAGAGTAATAATTGTAACTTTGAATAAAACAAATATATATATATATTAATATTATGCCTTATTGTTTATATTTTAAGATTCTTTCAAAATTTTAGACGAATAATATGAAATTTATAAAAATGAGGGGGCATTACTTCCCATTAAACAATCCATTATCACATAAATTAAAAAAAAAAGCAGTATATTCGAAAACTGAAGTTAGCATTGGTTTCAACTCTTTAAAAGCCGTGGGTCTTGTGGAATAAAAAATGCATAAATATTAATCAAGATTGGCTGTCTTAACTAGCTAAGCATATGAAGTACTTTAAGAATGGGCTTCCTTGCATCTCTTTTCACTGCCAAAACCCATATTTCGTCCTGAAGAAGCAGCCGAAATAACGAGGCCACAGGCCAATACTCGGGCCCTATTTGGTGAAGTTAACGAGAGACGGAGAGAGGGAATTAAAGTGAGAAACGTGATGGAAAAGAAACTGGGTGAAGAGACGCCATAAAAGTTATTAAATGTTATTGGCTAAAACATATGCTTTTTATTATCTAAAATATGTAAATTATTTGTAGGTCCAAAATAGACTAACCCAAGAAAATAATGTAAAAGAGCTACCTAATTAAAACCTTTGAGAAAGTATCTAAAACCTTTGAGTATTTAGATTTAAGTCTTGCCTTTTGTGAGTTTAATTTGATTTAATTTTATGTTAAATTTGTTTGATAATAAATAGATTGTCGATTGGTTTGTTTATTTATTTCAACTTTTTTACATGAATGTAATTTTTGTTTTAATTATAATATTTGCTTGTAAATGTAACTTTATAAAAAAAAAGTAATTTGAAATCTAATTATATAAGGTCATGTTTAATGTATGTAATGATAATATGATAATTATTTGATATTATGTTTGATTTGTATTTAATTGAAATTGATAATATTTATAAAGAAAATTATCGTCTTCTTGTTATAGGATAATTTAATATTCTTAAAATAAAAACGATTATTTTTAATTTATAAGATTAAACTTACATGTCTTATTATATCTTTAAAAATTATATTAATAATTTAAGTTATATAAACTTTTAGAGAATATAATTTTAATTAATAAATAAATTATCATATTTTTAATTCTTATATACATCAA